AACCTGCAAAAGGTTGATACTTTTAAAAAAAGCTTTAATTTAATTATTAAAGAAAATTCATTTTGCAAAAAAAATAAAACAAAATAATTATTCTCAGAAGCCAAAATATGTTTCACCTTTAAATAACATTTTTGTGAAAAAGGGTGGATAAACCGTCAAAAAAGCAAATCGACCAGTCAATCAATACCGTCGTTTGCAATTTATAAAAGTTATTAATTAGCTGGGGCGACCGGTGCAGTTCGACGTGGTTTAATGGTTAGAAAGCATTTCTCGCTAGATCAATTACAACAAAACAGTGAATAATGACTCATATTAAATCCAAACTTTGGCCTTTTGATTCATTTAAGCTACGCTTAGAAAATCGCCGTTTCTTTCTTTTCCTTTTGTTACGAGCGATACGATATTGATTTTTAATTGGTAGAAGCAAGTAACACCCAATAAGGATAGACCAAACTACATAAGTAATATGGATAATATATTTCGCCCAATACAAGACTCAAAAGCCACCCAAAGAAGAGAGTTACAGTCAAAATAGCAATACTTGAATGACGTGCGTGATCCGAAGCGAAAAGAAGCTGAAAATAGTAAAAATAACCGTTCCATACAGGCAGAATTGGGCATTCATTCACCAAAGACTTAGCGTTACTGTTGATTTAAATTTATATATTTTTTAAAATGGTTTTTCAGGGACTTAGAATTCTCAAGTCGCTCTGGATAGTACTAACTGTGATTTCCTACCAAATAGAAACATTTCAGAGTATGTCTGTGTCAATCTGAGGACAGTGCAGAGGATTCGGAAACAGTTGGATGATATATATCCAGTCGACAACATTGTATTTAGAGTGATCGCTAGTGATAGCGACGTTATGTCTCATCTTCCCACAGAACGTCAAACTCAACACGGAAGCCTACATCAAGTCCCGTGAAGAGATGGTGCTGCTCTGGGTCAAGAGGGTCGCTGCTGGAATGCCTTATGTCCGGCAACACGACTCTGACCGCACAAGCAAGAGAACTCAATTATGGCTGTCAGACAATTTCTGCGACCACATCACCCCTTACATCTGGTCACCTAACTCTCCAGACTGCAACCCCCTTGATTATTATGTGTGTTGAGCAAGAGACCAAGAAAATTCCTTATAAAACCAAAGATGAACTGAAGACAAGGATTATGGCAGCATTCCCCAACTTTAAACAAGGAAACCACCCAGAAAAGTTACAGGAGATTCCGAAGTCACCTGGAGGCCGTGGTGGAAGCCAATGGCGATTTTATGGAATAATTCTATTCTTTAGTATTTCAAGATATTTTTGTGCAATTTTTTGTAAATTGTTGTAGAGTAGTTTTCACAGTGGAGGCTTGTATTTCACTCAGTCGGTCCTAAAAAAGGTTCGACGTAAAAAACGTTAGGAACTTGAAATAATAGTTAATGACGCAGCAATCTAGTTGTGGTGGTTGATACTTTAATGTCCGACATCGACTGACACACCAACTCCACTCAGCTTCCTAGCGAGTGCTACTACTACTACTTATTATCTGTGGGGGAGTCTATTAACAATAGAATAGGTACGTTCCGGTATAACATAAATATATCTGTTAAAATGAGATATCAGTGTTATTTTCCTTTTTACGTAATTGAGACAACAATTTATCCATCGCACTCTGCATAGTATGCAAAATCAAGTTTCTGTCACTTGATGAGAAAGTGATGGTTAGCCTATCTTTGAAGTCAGATATCTGAAAACTACAAAAGAAAAAAAAGTGCCGATGGGACTTGTTTAATTTTGGGTGACGACATATTGAATGAAAGAGTGTAACTTCGAGTAACCTACGAAACATCTGGAGTATATTTGCCCGACTTAGAACTGAGTCTCTGTTGAGTGATATACATAGAATTCTTTCCATGGTTTCTCCTATCATCTCTAATCTGGATACCCACCAAGCCTGTAGACCTGATGGCTTACCTATAACCGTCGTTAAGAAATGTGCTACTGAACTGGCTCCTGTACTTTCGGTTTTTTGGAAATCCTATACTGCTTTTCCAGTTTATAAAAACTTCTAATTATCGGCCTATTAGTCTTCAACATTTTTTTTAACAAGATTTTAGCGGCTGTAATCAACTTTGAGTTGATTAAGCATCTCACATCACAGGACTTTCTTTCAGACAAACAATATCGCCTTCGCTTCTCTAGCTGAACTGATGTCAGTCAGTTATGTGTCATACGTGATACACGCTTAGCCAATCATCTATCTTTTGATACATGACTGACGAGGACGATTTTTTTCCCGCAGTAGGTTGCCACTTCTTCCTACGGTAGACCAGTTGCTATCCAAGGCTATAGTACCCGGTCTGCCCTGCTATTTACCTGCCTCCTAAATAGTGCTTCTAGTATCTTGTCGAAAAGAGATAAAAGATTAACAGGCTGTAATTCGATCGAGGGATTTGGAGGCACGGTGGAGTAATGGATAGCGGCTCGGATTGAGGAATCGGAGAGCCGAGTTCGAATTCCAGTCGAAGCCATTACGTTCTAATCCCTCGATATGTTTTTTTTTTTTAGTTATGTCATACACGCTTAGGTAATCATGTATCTTTTGATACATGACTGAATTTTTTCCCGCAGTAGGTTGCCATTTCATTCTACGGTAGACCAGTTGCCATCCAAGGTTAAAGAACCCGGTCTGTCATGTTATTTACCCATAGCTGGGGGGAGAAGCATATGATTCATACCTTTCCCAAGGGTATTAGCACGTAAGTGAATGTAATGGGTTTGACTGGAATAGGTGTACAGAATCTATCAAGGCTTAAATAAAAATGGCTACCGGGTTAAGGCAGTGGAGAACTTGAAAAGGGGAATTAACAGGAGATAACTGATAATTGACATCCATTATACATGACACGTGGAACTAGAATAGTCTACCCCAGCAAGCGAAATAAAGGATTCAGTTCGACATTCCAACCACCTGAAGAAGGCCGGAGCGTAGAACGGCCGAAACCTTGTGATAAATATGGCAACAAAGATGAGGACAATAGTCCGAATAATGTAAATAGTGTATCAAAACTATTGTATCATCGAGGTGAATCATACACAGAGAAGAATGAGTGCTTAATATATTTATTCAGCACCAGTATCCATTGCTAATGGATACATACAAAAAACACAGAACAATAAGTTACAAAACAATTAACAAGACAACTGGCAAGGTATAGAGGAGAGTCAAATGCTGTATAGCCAAACAAAGTAATATCAGTAAACTTATTAATCAACCATTGAAGTCCTTAATCGTAGACTATTTAAGGCCATCAGTCGGGCCATCTGGTAGAGTGCTGAAGAAGTGCTAGCTACTCTACAACAAATTGAAATAATACTTTATCCAGTTATGAATTGCCATGCCATTATTCTTTCTGCAAAAAGCCATGGCAATTCATCGTTAATAAGGAACATGGATTATTATGTCAGGTTACTGTACGCATGTTACTGGTACCATGTATTACCTGCTGCATCGTCAGGTCATCGGGGACTAAAGCAATTCGCCCAACATGCTTTTCTGGGGAAGGAGACGGCTATACTCGTCACATTGATCCATCTTGTAGAGTCAACGGCCATCTAGTACAGTGGAGTAAATAGGGATCCATAGCTATGGATACAGGCAGGGCGGTGATTAGACGGCATCGGTTGGCGGAATGCTTCCCAGACTGCTCAACGGCCAGGGCGGTGATAACATCGCTCGGCGGAAGTCTTCCTAGACTGAAGTCAAAAGGCCGGGGCGGTGATGAGACGGCATCCCTTGGCGAAAGGCTTCCCAGACTGAAGTCAAAGGCCGAGGCGGTGATGAGACGGCATCGTTTGGCTGAAAGCTTCCCAGACTGAAGTCAAATGCCGGGGCTGTAATGAGACGGCATCGCTTGGCGGAAGGCTTCCCAGACTGAAGTCAAAGGCCGAGGTGGTGATGAGACGGCATCGCTTGGCGGAAGGCTTCCCAGACTGAAGTCAAAAGGCCGGGGCGGTGATGAGACGGCATCACTTGGCTGAAGGCTTCCCAGAGATTTGAAGTCAAAGGCCGGGGAGGTGATGAGACGGCATCGCTTGGCCGAAGGCTTCCCAGACTGAAGTCAGAGGCCGGGGCGGTGATGAGACGGCATCACTTGGCTGAAAGCTTCCCAGACTGAAGTCAAAGGCCGAGGCGGTGATGAGACGGCATCGCTTGGCGGAAGGCTTCCCAGACTGAAGTCAAAGGCCGAGGCGGTGAGACGACATCGCTTGGCGGAAGGCTTCCCAGACTGAAGTCAAAAGCCGAGGCGGTGATGAGACGGCATCACTTGGCCGAAGGCTTCCCAGACTGAAGTCAAAGGCCGAGGTGGTGATGAGACGGCATCGCTTGGCGGAAGGCTTCCCAGACTGAATTCAAAGGCCGGGGCGGTGATGAGACGGCATCACTTGGCTGAAGGCTTCCCAGATTGAAGTCAAAGGCCGGGGCGGTGATGAGATGGCATCGCTTGGCGGAAGGCTTCCCAGACTGAAGTCAAAGGCCGAGGCGGTGATGAGACGGCATCACTTGGCTGAAAGCTTCCCAGACTGAAGTCAAAGGCCGAGGCGGTGATGAGACGGCATCGCTTGGCTGAAAGTTTCCCAGACTGAAGTCATAGGCCGAGGCGGTGATGAGACGGCATCACTTGGCTGAAAGCTTCCCAGACTGAAGTCAAAGGCCGAGGCGGTGATGAGACGGCATCGTTTGGCTGAAAGCTTCTGCAACTGAAGCCAATGATCAGGGCTAACCATTACACCAAGTCGAGGTGCCTAAGGCATGCTGTCTATGAATGAATCAATTTTCGTACCAGACATGTAGAGGTAACTGACCATGTACTCACATACGCGCCCACCCTACGACTACATGCAGTCAGGGAACTGATGACGATGATGATGATGTGAGTAATCATCGCTCGTATGTCGATGAGAAGCTCGATTCGAATTTTTGAATCTTTAGCATTCAAACCCAACGTTATAACGACTGTGTCAACTCCTCAGATGTCGAATGAGATCGCAGAGAGAGAGAGAGAGAGAGAAGGGAAGAGGAAGAGGAAGAGAGAGAAGAAGAAAGTGAGAGAAATTGAGAGAATGTGTGAGATAATGTACGAGAAATAGAGAAAGAGAGAGTGAAAGAGAAATATCGAAAGAAAGAGAGAGTGAGTCTGTGAAAAGGAGAGAGTGAGAGAATGTGTGAAAGAGAGAATAAAATAGAGTGGGACAGAGAAATAGAGAAAGAGAGAGAGAGAGAGAAAGAAACGTTATAACGGATATGTCAACATCTCAATTGTCGGAAACATCGCAGAGAAAACAAGAAAGCAAGATAGAGAGAGTGAAAGGGGGAGAGAGAAAGAAAGAGTGAGAGGGAAAAAGAGAGAAAGAACGAATGAGAGAAAGTGAGAAAGAGAGAGTGAAAAGGGAGAGAAATAGACAGACAATGAGAGAGAGAGTGTGAAAGAGAGCGAAAAAGAGAGAGAAAGAGCAACTGAGAGGGAAAGAGAGAGATAGAGAGTGGGTGTGTTAGAGAGGTGGGCAGCGATATAGGCAGCGTTAAAGATAGATAATCTGGAGATTATCGAGTTTTTCAAATGCTATCAAAATGCTACGATTACGCAGGATATTTAGAGAATTTTTTTTTTTTTATGTCGTAACAGATTAATACATTTCCGGTTTGGCTGCCGTCGGCGGAAGGCGTTGGAAACGTTCTCGTTTTCAACAGATGATTATCTTGATGGCGCTTATCATTTAACATTGAAACTAAAATTGATATTATTTTCCGTCTTTTAACGTTATCTGTTTGTTTCTTTCTTTTGTTTTTGTTTTTTTGTTTTTTCATGCTATTTTCACCCCCATTTTTTGGCTTTCTAAGCGTCGATATTTGTGATACAAAATTACTTCTTTTTTCTTTTTTATTTTACCGGTGCCAATGATTAACCCCATTCCCGCCAATTATTTTTTTTTGGGGGAAAAAAAAACCTTTCATTTCCAAACGAATTTTTTAAAATTTGTTTTTAATATATTAACTAAGAAACTCAGGCACTTTGAAGTACCCAAACAGTGGCTAAAACCTCTACCAGACGTATGATTTGATAACCAGACTTGTTTCAAGCTCAGTGGGGGGGATAAAAAGAATCAAGATCGACGTACAAAACAGGTCTGTAGCTGCCATGCTACTTTCAAATCACCCACAATCTCTCTATATTCCATCGGTGAGAAGTAAGTTCTACTTGAGCAGCTTCTTCCCGTAGACCGCTGCTTTGTGGAATCAACTCCGAACAAGATGTTTCCCCGATCACTACAATATTAACCTATTCGAGGCTAGGGTTAATCGTTATCGCCGTCATCTATAAGCACAAATGGCTTTCTAACGTAAGCCCTCTAAATCGAGTGTTCCCCGGACCATATAAAGGATGACACTCACTGTAAAAAAAAAAAAAAAAAAAAAAACTTTATCTTGTAGACGTGTTTATTCGTCCCTGTCTTAAAAATACACTCTTCGGTAAAACGGATATACACGTCTTCGCCTTCGCACGTCTTTAATGATCATCACAATCATCGCCATCATCGTTAACATCAGTCCTTTGACTATTTCATTCGTCGTGGAGGGGGATCTAAAGGGTACAAGAAACAGAGAACGGGATGATTTTTTGCGGTGGAGTCAAGCTGAATAAATGGCAAGTCCATTTTCAAAATCTCTTGGGAAATGTACAGTGACATTTTAGATACTGACTAGCAGGAGAGCCCGGCGTTGCCCGGGGATGTAACAGTAAGAGATAGTTCAAGTATCGACCATCATAAAGACTGAAAAATAAAATTGACAAAGATTATTGTTTAAGGTTGACGGACACGCATGTCTTAATTAGTTTTTTTTTTTGTTTTTTGTTTTTTACGAATTGGTCAAACTCAAACAAAAACCTTGTTTTCAATCGTTATGAGTCTACCGATTGAATAGAATTTTATTATAAACAATTGTCTTGTAAATGGAATTTTTAAAGCATTCTGAATGTAAAAATAAAGAAAAAAGTGTGCAAGACAATAAGAAACACTACCAGCCAAAAAAAAGTGAAGTTTTGTTGAAATCGGTTGAAAGACGAAACGGTGTATAAGACGCACCCCAATTTCAAGAGGGCAAATCAAGAAAAAATTAGTAATTAGTAAAATTATTAGTTAATGGTACAGCCTAGGCTATATTTATGAACAATTGTTTTAGTTAAACAAGCCATGATGACAATTAAAGAAAAATAAGAAAAAAGAACACGAGCCTATAAAAAAAAATTCTTTATATAATCTGTACAACCTTTTTTTTTTTCTTTTTTTTAAGCGTTTCACCCCAAGCAAGGCGGGAAGCCACTAGGACGCAAGGGGTTACAGAAAATTTGGAGCAAGATCAGATAGGAGTGATAGAAGAAAGTATGGGGAGAAGGGTAGTGGATAGATCAAGGCAACTGGAGATGTCGATTGACATTACATTTGAACTGGAATAGGGAAGGGAGTTCCACAGGCGAGTGGTGCGAGACATGAAGCTATTAGAGTAGAAGAGACGGCTACATTTAGGAGTTTCGTGAAGAGGTGAGATCGGGATGCCAGCCTCGTAGGGCGCTTGAACTCATGAAGTCTGGGAACCAGAGAATGCAGCTCCTCGGAGCAATTACCATGAAAGTATTTGTAAAACAGACGGAGAGAGGCGACGGCGCGTCTGTGAGAAAGTGACTGTAGACAAGATGCCAGAGCAGGGCCAATTATATTGCATATTCGCCTCTGGAGCCTAACAAGAACCCCGAGGCATACAGAAGGTGCTCCAGACCATATATGGCAGCAATACTCCATGCAAGGGCGAATTGTTGATTTGTAGATCTGGAGGATCGATTCCAGTGAGAAACATTTCCTGGCGCGGCACAGGGAGTCAACTTTGTTTTCTTGTAATAGTGATTTTCCAAGCGTAGCTTAGATGTGGCATAAGGCCGAAAGTATGGAGAATCCAGTGAGGATCGAACTCACTACTCAGTCGTAATTGTTTTAGCGAGACAAACTTGCTACCCATTACACCGTCTCAAGGTAACCAATGTCATATTGTAATAATTAGGATATAAACATTTTGATTGTATTTATACAAATGCAACAGGAAGTTATCGTAAGAATTAATTTTTAAAAAAATTAAAATTAATGAAACAAATATATTTTACAAATATATAATTTGAATTTATTGCGTATAATTTTAGTGAAACAAAATACTAATATTAAACCTGATGAAATTAATACAATGAATATTATCAATAACACTTTTAATCTGCATAATAGCCTTTTAAATAATGACAATAGGTATATAAACGTTACTCTAAAGTCTAAGCAAATAGGAGTTGCCAGGTAGCTAATTTTGGCTGACTATCGCGAATTTTAAACCTACATATGGCATATAAGATGCAGGGAAATTTTAAAAGATATTTTTAGTAAAAAAAAGTTCGCCTTGTTGTTGTGTCGGAAACCTACCACGCTTCTTGAAGATGAACTTGGCTGCGTCTGTGAACCAAGACTTTAAATAATGGAAGACAGATAGACCGAGAAGTTCTTAGCTGAACTAGTTACTGACTACTCAGGCGATTTCTGTACCTTTTTACCAACCTATTAAAACCCTTTTTATTGTTACGTGTTATTTGGCGTTTGTCTCTACTAACCACAAATCAACATCATAACACTTATATACCGTCAAATACAGTAAATTATTTTAGAAATGTTTGCTTTTAGAAAATCTTGATAAAATATTTTTTACAGCTGTTAACCCCACTTATTTAATTTTACGACATTTTGCGAAATTACATTTTGTAGAGATTAATGTTTATACTAATTAAAAGCAGAACTCATTGGAGAATTTAAATCATCATTTTTTTTTTTTTTTTTTTTTGTAAAATAGAACCCTCAGTTATCGAAAACTTGCTCTCAATCGAATAATAAAAAAAAAATGAAATAACACTATCTATGATATTATTTAATTAGAAAATATTTTAATTATTTCTATGAATAATATATATTAAGGACACTAATGTATTAAGAAAAAGATAATTTTGGATAAATAATGAATTTTTACGAGAATGATTTTTAGTTTTAATTAATTTTAATAATTTATAAATTAAAAAAAATATTTTGGTGTGTATAAACGTGCAGATTTTTGTAAATACGGTCTTTCATACACAGCATTAAAATAAAAGCGATCACTATAGTAAATTTAAAGCCAAAACAACTTAAATAAAATTTTTCTATAAAAATTAGATTACGGAGAATATTTTCCAAAATATTTAAGATTACTAGGTAACTAAAAATTATATATAAAAGGCGCTCAAATTATATTCCTCAAATAAATTTTACAGATATGCCCGCTGTAGAAGAAATTAGATAAACATCCATCTCTCAGTAAGCTTTCAACCAGACGACACCTTAAATAAAATAAAAATAACACCGCCATGTTTAAAAATTGATTTTCTTCGATATTTTAAACTCAAAGTAAGTAGTATTTGTTTAAAATCAGATTGATTAAACTTTAAATCAGCTAATATTTCTCAAATAAAATTTCAGAAAAATATGCTTTTTTAAAAGGTTTTTAATAAAGAGAATTACGCCGAGATGACAGATGGCTAAAAAAAAAAAATGGCGCTAAAATCAGCGATGTTTAGCAATTTCAAAACAGAAACCCCTTGCAGTCAAATTAAATTAGTTTTGAAATACAGCAAAGTATTATTGCTTATTATAAATATTAAATTTGATCTATTATCTTGAAATAAAAACTAAAATAAAAGTTTTCATTTTTAAAAATTCATTTTAAAGCTTAGGTATCGCTAACCTGTGGAGCTACCTACAGTTGTAGAGGGAATTATTAGTCCCCACTGAATATTTGCATATTTTCTAAGGAAATGCGAATATTCTTATTGAATTTACCATAAATAGTTGATTCCGTATTTAGTTTTGTATAATTCGTGATGGTTTTTAGAAGTTTCGATAAGTTATATTCATAGTTATAGATTTTTCTAAAGATCGGTGCAGTCCAAAATTATTCGCCACCCCTCATGGAAATTATAATATGATATGGCTCTATGGCAATTGTAAGTTTTTTTTTAAAGTTAATTTGACATTTAATACAAACACCCTTTGAAAATGAAATAATATTGATCCGATTCTAAAAAGTAATGAAGAAGACAATATGTGAATGTCATGTACCACGATAATTCATTCATTCGGTAATCATGACGAAGACGACTGAACTTGACAAGAAGTTCCGAATGAAGATAGTTGATGCGTACAAAGAAGGTGATGGATATACAACATTTTCCAAGTGTTTAAATTTTCCTAGATCGACAATTCGTAGCTCTATCAAGAAAGTACAACGAGACTCATTGTGTCGAGAATAAGTTAAGGACTGGCAGAAAACGGTTAATTTCTGACAGAATGGAAAGGAAAATTATTGGAGATGTCTCGAAGAATCCTCAATTAACAACAAAGGACATTGTCAATGCCGTAAAGACATCAGGGTTGAATGTATCGACAAAAACCGTCAATATATTCTTTCATTAAACAGGACTTCGTTTGTCGCCCAAAGGAAATTCCCTTGTTTAATCACCTAAAATGCAGATTAGCTTATGCTAGAAGCCATCTTGAACATGGGGAGTAAATACTGGAAGTCTGTTTCATGGACAGATGAAACCAAACTAGAATTATTTGGTCACGTGAATTCCCGTCATGTATGGATGAAAAGGAATAAAACTCACAAACCTAAAATTATTCTCCCTACAATTAAGCACGGTGGTGGGCGCATTATGCTCTGGGGATGTTTTGCTGCTTGTGAACCGGGAGAACTCGTGAGGACACAAGGTATCTGTTATAGTGGAACACCCCTATTCTATTGTTAATAGACTCTCCCACCTATAATAAGTAGGAGTAATAGGAGTCGCTCAGTGGGTCGGTCTGAGTTCAGTCTGAAGTCGGACGACCGGCTGACCGGTTGAACTCTCTGCCTTCGGGCGGGGAGGAACCCGAACGAGGCTATGCCGAAGGGCGGAGTCTCGTTCGGGGAGGTAAACCGACCCTGAACCCGTTTATACGGGTTTTAAAAGGGCATATTTTTGGCCGAGCCCACGAGCTCGGATGTCCCCTGTTAAACCGGCCTTGTGCCACATGATGCTCTAGTGGGGGTGGGTGACTGAATATCGCTCAGTGAGTCGGTCAGTCAGTCGATGCCGGACGACTGTTAGTCGGATACTAAAAGTATCAGTGACCACAACTAGATTTTCTCTGCGTCATTACCTATTATATCAAGTTCCTAACGTTTTGTACGTCGAACCTATTTTAGGACCGACAGTACAAAATACAAGCCTCCACTGTGAAACCACACTCCATAACAGTATCATGGGTAAAAAGCAATATTTGGGTATTCTTAAATATAATATAAAACAAAGAGCAAGAAATCTGTATTTAGGGAGTCACTCGAAGTTCCAGCATGGCAATAACTCGAACCCCACGACACGAATTGTTACAAAATACTTAGATTACAGCAAAATTAAGGTATTTATGGTACTCAGCATAGTCTTGACCAAGAGTTCATTGAAAATTTATGGACATGTTTGAAAAAGAAAGTAAGTAGAAGTCCTTCGAATTTGGAGGAACTAGAAGCTATTGCCAAGAAAGAATGGAGCTAAATCCCTATCAGCGAGTGTAGTCATCTGGAAAAGAACTATATAAATTGATTGAAGACAATAATCAAGAATAATGGTTATACAACTGATTATTAAATCAAGAGGGTCAATAATTCTGTCATATGTTAAATGCTGTTTTGGTGTTATTTTGTGTTATGATGTTGATTTGGGGTTAGTAAAGACAAACGCCAAATAACACGTAACAATAAAAACGGGTTTATTCGGTTGGTAAGTAGGTACAGAAATCGCCTGAGTAGTCTATAACTAGCTCAGCCAAGAACTTCTCCGACTCTGTCTGTCTTTTGACATGCCGCTATTTAACGTCTTTGTTTGTAGACAAGTTCATCTTCAAGAGGGGTGGTAGGTTTCCTACACAACATTTTATATTATTGTTTGACATTAAAATAACAATTTTGTTGTGGGTATCATTGCACTTTATTTGAAATCCATTATTTTATCGTTTGTGAAAAATGCACATTGAATTTTCCATGAAAATTTGAAGTTCTATAGCTTTATTTGTAATTATGGAAGGGGGGAATACTTCTGTTCATAGTCAGTCAGCTAATGCCATACGTGATACACGCTTGTACTATCATGTACCTTTCGACACATGACTGACGAGGCAGATTTTTTCCCCGTATTAGGTTGCCATTTCTTTCTGCGGTAGACTGATTGCCAACCAAGGCTAAAGAACCCAGTCTGCGCTTTTATTCAAACCATAGCTGGGGAGGGGAGAAGAGTTGGATTCATATCTTTCCCAAGGTGTGTAAGCGAACTCGACTGGAATTCGAACTCGGCTCTCCGAGTTCTCCCTCCGAGCCGATATCCATTACACCACAACTATACAGAAAAGATTTCTTTCTTTTTTTTTTCCGGGTGCTAGCCTAAGTTGGCTTCCCGCCATTCTTAAAGAAATGAAATGCCAATTTCCCATTCTGTTTAGTCATTTCACACCAGACTCCGCCTACCACGCGGACTGATCCTCGTGATTTCGCCACAAACAGGCGCTCACCGCCCCCCAACAACTCAATCTCTCAAAACCTAAAACCAATGCTTCTTTTCATCGATCGATCAGTTCGAATTTCCCCGAATTAGATACTTCTACCGACACGTCGTCGTCCGCCGCCCCACCATCGGATCACCACAGCTGTCTTTATGTCCGTAGATTCGCTTTGTATGTTGCCCCGCGTATTTCTTACAGGCCGAAGAACACAAGAGTTCGTGCGCATAAGATTAGATCTATGGCTACATTACAAGTTCGACTTCAAAAGATAATGACTGACAAACAGGCGAGAAAATAGCAGAAATCGATGCGTGTAATATTAATAAAAAAAAAGTGGTCAACACAGAAAAGGCGAGCTTTATTAAATAAATAGATGTCTGGCCACAAGACTGGACATTGTCTGAAACTAGCCGATTGTATCCGGCGACAGGGAAAAAGAAAAAATGGCGGTACTTAGATCAGTCACCAATGGATTATGTCCTAAATAAATAAACATCATCTAACATGATCTACAAAAATATACCAGTCAACCGTTCTTAAAACTAACCCAAGTAGAAGATTTCCGAAGACAATAATTTTTCTTCTGTCATATGCCAGGTCCTTTCAGAATGTGGTCTATCATGGCTCTCCATGATTTCTTTTTTTCTCTAGGTACCACGCTTTGTCATCGTACCGGCATTCATTCACAGTCCTATATCTGCACGCTCATGAATGCAGTTCATCTTGTTATTAGTTAAAACATTTAAACATTTCTTTGTAAGATTCTCGTTTTGATGAATTGATAAAGCAAGGCACTATATCACGAACGAGTTCCGTAACACCTAAGGGTCGTAGCTAACCCACATATACTGCAGCCGTAGCAGTAGTCGTCTGTTTTGGGCAAGATAACCTGATGGAGACCAAAAATTTGATTTTAATTTGCGGTGTTTCATTTTAGTAATTCAGGGCCCTATACAACAAAAAAAAACATACTTTAAAATTTGAAGATTTAGACTAAGAAAAAATATTCCAAACCATTTCTTCACGTAAACACATTTTTTACCCTAAGGCTCGCCTAATATAAGTCGTGTGGGGGAGGGGTAATTAAGTGTAGGGATTTACTGTTCCTGTGGCTACGATGAATGAGATGTATGATATGAATGAAAGAAGGGGTGATGGGTAATCATGGCTCTCCACAACAGGGTCTGAATTTGCAAAGTCTCGGGAGCTATTCAAAGTGGGGTGTAGAAGTTGTATGTGTTACGGTTTTTTGTGTATATTATGTATGTAACTAGTGAGCGAGTCAAAATGACTTAATTCCCTTTATATTCGACCAATAGAAGGTTGACCAATCAGAAGCCGCACAACACTGTATCCGTCGTGTATAAAGGCGGCCATCTTTGTTTCCTACCAACCTGACCAGAGGCAACTTGTCCGGCGAACAGGACAGACGGAAGAACTACGCCCTGCTACCTTGCGGCGATATCCACTGCGAACCTGCACTACGCTTTCCTACTGTCTCCGAAATATTCACTGCCAACCTCTGGATTCTATACTCGAAGACGACCGTCATGAAAATGTCTAACAGTATGATTTGAATGAAAGAAGAGGTGATGGGGAATGTAAATTACGGGTCGATAATGGCTCTCTGCAATTTCTTATCTTGTTTCTCTAAGCACCACGCTTTGTCCTTGTCCTAGTATCTCTTCCCACAAACTAGAGTCCTATATCTACACGCTCATGATTGCAGCTCAACCTGTTATTAGTTAACACATGTTAATCCTTGCTTTGTAAGATGTTTATTTTGATCACTTGATAAGGCAGGGCACTATACAGGAAAGAGCATGAGTCCCTTAACCCCTGAAGGTCGTAGGGTCACTATATGTACTTCAACCATAGCAGCACTGGTGTATCTTGGGCAAGATGGGGCGCAATCTCTGGCTTGAATTCAAAGGAGTGCTATGAGGAGAAAAGATCGATTGATATCTTCCCCACTAAGTACATCTAAAGAACTCGGGTGGAAATCGAACTCGAATCTCCGTGTTCTCATTCCGAGCCGCACATCCATACAGCAAAGAGCATCTCTGAAATGACAGTGTGATTGGTGCGATGAGTAGAATTTCTAGTGTTGCATTCGTTTTTACATAAATACTCTTTGGAAATGTATGAATCCTCGCGTTTCTCTCACCTTGTAGTTGATAACAGGATAGACCGGAGCTTTCTAGCCTTGGATGGCAACCAGTCTCGAAGAAGGAAAATTCAAAAGCAACGTGAAGATGTAATGACTCTGAGTGGATATCTACAATGTCATGGATGCAACTTGAACAGATTACAGAATAGTCAGAATAAAGTAATTGATATTTTCCAAGAATATAGAGTTATGCAGAAAATGTCTCAGTAGTACACGGGATAAGATACAACCCAAAATGAACCTACATCGAAGAAAATTCTTGGGAAGTTCTTGACGGTCCACCTTGTGTTGCTCTCCATCAGTCTTACGATTGCAGCAAACATATTTTGTTAGTAACATTTAAGTCTTGCTTTTTTTTTATTCGTTGGAAAGGTGTGCTGGCTTATTATATATAACAAAGAACATCTATCTATATATAAAATTCTGTAACTTCCGTCTGTCCTTTCGTCACACCCTCTAAAATAGCTGTACATTGACTGATCGAAACCAAATGTTGGGGAGAAGTGTAAAAATGTAAGGGGGTACAAAGTACAGCTGGTTTTACTAATTGGAAAAATTAAAAGTTTTATTATTTAACATAGAAAATCCGCCCACTATTCTCGCAATATTTAAAAAAAATAATTTTTAATGATTAAAATAAATATTTATCTAATAAAAATACAATGTCGTTTTATTGCATATTTTTTCTTTAAGTTCTTGTATATACAAGAATCCAGTTTCCAGTTCACCCTGCGTTAGCAAGAAAAATGAACAAATCACAAAACCAAACGCTTCAACAAGTTGGAATTTGGCTCCAGAAAGAAATATTTACGCATGGCCAGTTGTATGTTGCATGCTCAAGAGTAAGAAATCCTAATAAATTTATTCTTCGCTGTTAAAAAGGAAAAAAGAAATTAAAAATAAATATTGTTTACCATGAAGTCCTATAAAAGTAAAATAAATTAAAGAAATTATTATGCAACAAAGTCAAAGTATTTCCCCCAAAAAATCAGCTTCTTATTCAAATTTCATCGATTGGTTTGTGAAATTGAAAGAAACGTATTTTGTAAATCTTGACAAAAAATATTAGCGATAACTTCAATAATACTAAATACTGAAAGGATTTCAACAGGTCTTAGCGAATTACAAACAAATTCTAGTCTATTAAAACAGGTACAGAACGACTACCCGTATTAACTTTTATATCAAATATTACTTCCCTAATTTTTTTTAAGTTGGGAACCCCAAAAAGTGTTCACTTGAAAATCAGTGAAAGAGACAAGACAATTTCTACCCTTAACTTTATGATTAAAGTTATCTTGAGAAAATTATAATCTTTGGCTTTCGTGTCTATAATACAATTTAACCCTAAAACTTATCTTTCCTTTAATTAATTTTTAGGCACTAACGGTTAAAAACAATTTTTTCTTTGGCGTTTTACTTATAATCAGTGGCGTAATTTTTTGTTGTGGGGCGAGGGGGAGGCGGACCCATTTGGTGCCAGCACAGGAGGGTGACACAATGTCAACCCCCCAACAAAATTTTTCAACCAGGCTAAGGTGCAAAAATAGTCTGAAAACAGTGGTGGAGACACAGGGTTTTTTACAGGCCGGCATTACCCCCAACAAAGAAATAATTTATGACCCCCCCAGTTTTGTCCCCCGTCAAAAAAAAATTAAATAGAACATTTTTGTCAAGAAAAATACTTTCAAACATCACTGATAATTAAATGGTACCCAGAAAATGATGCAACGGAAAATCGGACACCGGAAAATTAGCCACAGAAAATTACGTCAACCATGAGCAGGTCGAGACTGTTGGATCTGGCTGTGCTGTCCATTGAAAACGAGCTTACAAGACAAACAGATTTTGATGATGTCATTGACCAATTTGCCACAATGAAAACAAGAAAACATTCATTCTAAGACCATAGTATCGAATGTCATTCTTTTGTGTATTGCCGTGTTTTGTATTTAGTTGTTCTGAAAGTGAACAGATGCATTTTAAAAAATCTTTTGATTTGAACTGATTATTTTGTGGTATTGGATTTTGTCTTGGATCATACATGTAAACAGTAACGTACCGGTCAGTAGAGTAAAGTAGAGGTAGAGCATGTATGAAAATCAGAACCTTTACAGCTAACCATTCAGCATTTGGGTGAATCAGGGGTCATTGGGGTGACATTTGAGCGGACCGCTCCAGGTGACGTTTACTCTAGCTACGCCAGATGCTTATAATGCCTGTTAATTTAATGATTAAACCGCTAAGTAAGGTTTTTATTCTTTATTTCCCCAAACAAATCAGCTTCTTATTCAAATTTCATCGATTAATTTGCGAAATGAAAAAAAACTTTTTTTTGTAAATCTTGACAAAAATATGAGCGATAACTTCAACAATGTAAAATGGTTATCCAGTAATTTCAAGACGAAGCCTGTTGCAAACAAATTCTTTTAATTTATTAAAACAGGTTTAGATGGACACTATTTTAGAAGAAACTTTATTTCAAAAATGCGGTAATTGGAACCCCAAAAAGTGTTCACTTGAAAATTAGTGGAAGAGACAAAACGTCAAATTTTTTTTTTTTTATACCTAATATAATATGCAAACCAATATATAATTGAGATTTTTTAATTAAATAACTGGGTTTGAATCTTTGAACATTAAAATCGATATTAAAATCGTTATCTATCTATATATAAAATACTGTGATTCCGTCCGTCATACCCTCTAAAATAGACATACATTTATCGATTGAAACCAGATTTTGAAGAGAAGAGAAAACAGCTAAGCGGGTACAAAGTACAGTTGGTTTTACGAGGATGCCTAGCTTATCAAAATAAATGTTTATTAATTTTATTTTTTTGAAGAATTAAAAGTTTTATTATTTAACATATAAAATAATCCCACTATTTTAAAAAAAAACAATTTAACGATTAAACCACGACGTAGGTTTTTTTTTGTCAAAGTATTTTCTCAAACAAACCAGCTTATTCAATTTTCATTGATTGGTTTGCTAAATTGAACGATACGTAGAGATTGTAAAACTCGACGAAAAATATTATCGATAACTTCAACAA